CCGGTAGCCACCGTACCTCTACCTGTGATAGTAAAAACATCCTCAACAGCCATCAAGAACGGTAAATCAGTCTGCCTTTGAGGAATAGGAATATAACTATCAACAGCATCCATCAATTCGTAAATCTTATCAACCCATTCGTTTTCACCCCTTTTAATCCCGGGATTTGCCATTAATGCCTCTAAAGCTAGTAAAGCAGAGCCCGAAACAATTGGAATATCATCACCAGGAAATTCATATGAGGACAACAATTCCCTTACCTCAAGATCAACCAATTGAAGCAGCTCTTCATCATCGACCTGGTCTTGTTTGTTCAAGAAAACCACCATATTCGGCACCCCAACTTGTTTAGCAAGCAGAATGTGCTCTTTCGTCTGGGGCATAGGACCATCTGCCCCTGAAACCACCAAAATAGCACCGTCCATCTGTGCAGCACCAGTAATCATGTTCTTAACATAATCAGCATGTCCAGGACAATCCACGTGGGCATAGTGGCGGTTCTCAGTCTCGTATTCGACAGTGGCAGTATTAATGGTGATACCACGGGCGCGTTCTTCTGGGGCGGCATCAATTTCATCGTACTTTTTAGGGGCGGAGCCTCCAAGTGAGGCCAAGGCCATAGTCAGAGCAGCAGTAAGAGTGGTCTTTCCATGGTCGACGTGGCCAATTGTTCCGATATTGACATGGGGTTTCTTCCGCTCGAATTTTCCTCTAGCGGCCCTGACAGTAAATCTTCGGTGAGACCCATGGGCGGTGGCGGCGGCGGGATGGACAAAAAGGGTAGATAAAGAAGGAGTAAATGAAGAGGAAAACACAATTTTAGTGGATTTTGAAGAACTAGGTGTAAGGGAGGGACCAGACGAAGAATGGGTGTAAGCATATGAAAGTCTTGAAGAGGCAATTACGGCAGCGGTGGCTGAAATTGAAGCCATACACGAAGGATTAGGTAGAAAAACTAAAAGAGGCAAAAATGCAATTTGTAGAGAGAGAGGAGAGGGGGTGAGGGTCTCTATGTGTGTGGTGAGTGAAAGGGATAACAGTGTTTATCTATGAGAAGAGCGGAGGGCCTCGGAGGGGTTCTATCCTTTTCTATCCGAAGATGACGTTGGGGTGGGAGCATGGAATTTCTGTGCTATTCAGTTTATATGACGCCACGTGCAATATCAGGTCAACTGGATCTTGGACTCCGGTGTAGATCAACCATGTTTGAATAAGCTTGCTTATAAGTTAATTCGAATAAATTGCCCCAAGAAGCATAAATCAATGGCGCAAAAGATAGAAGTGAGATAATCTCAGCCTT